GGTTGCCGGTTCCATTCCAAGTCAGGACACATGCCCACGTTATGGGCCAAATTCCCAGTGTGGGGACGTGCAGGAGACAGCCCAATCAATGTTCTCTCTGATCAATGTTTCTATCTCTTTCTCTCTAAAATCAATAAAAAAATAAAAATAAAATAAAAACAAAACCTCAAATCCTCCAAACTCATACTGATCCTTTAAGAAATTGTCATTATATCTGAACCCTTAAAGTAGTGTTCTTTTCCCTAGTTCCTTCTCTTTCAAAGTGTCGATCTGTTTGTGATCTTGAACCCTCTCGTCTTAACTGGCTCTAGTTTGTCAACCTTCTTCTCAAGTGTGATGCTGAGAATGGAATGTTACATATGATAGAAAGTTTTGCTCTTAAAAGAAGTATAAACTGAGATAATATTTTCCGTGTTGAGAAAGAAAAATACAAGTAAATGGAAATGAAACTAGATTGGATTAGATATATCATTGAGAAGACCTCTTTGATGATAATCATTATGATTGGGATTCAAGGGGCTAGGAATTGGGAAATGGTGAAAGATCATACTTTTCCTAAAAACCTTTTATAATATGCTCATGTGTGGAACATTCCTGTTTGTAAAATAATTTTATATTTTTAATCTTATTTGGCTTTGATAGCCACTGAGTAGTGCAAATGTTTTCAGTATCCCCATTTTACACAAAGACAATTGGCTCCATGATAATAAATGAATATCTCATTGCTAGTAAGTGGCATGGTGAGGATTTGAACCTGTCTCCAAAACTTCTGCTCTTTCTGTGATGCCAAATTTATCTTAATACATTTAGAAAGTTATAATAACAGTTACAGGGAATGGAGCTGTTAATTTCGGGTCTATCCCACATCACCAAACTGAAGAATAGTTAATGAATTAAACACCTGGGCTCAGAAGCACTGAGGTAGCCTGACTGACAGCAGCCTGTTCCCAAGAGAATGACATCAACCTCATGTTTCCCAAGACACTGCAGTCTGGTCATCAGATTCCCAAAAGGTGTCCCATAGGTGGGAGAAATTAGTAAATAACATTTGGCCTCATGAGAGAAAAAGAAAGGAAGGAAGGAAGGAAGGGAAGGAGGGAGGGAGGACGGGAGGGAGGGAGGAAGGAAGGAAGGAAGGAAGGAAGGAAGGAAGGAAGGAAGGAAGGAAGGAAGTAAGGAAGGGGGAGAGAGAGAGATGAAAGAAAGAAAGAAAGAAAGAAAGAAAGAAAGAAAGAAAGAAAGAAAGAAAAGAAAGAAAAGAAAGAAAACCCTTCATTGTACTTGTACTGTGTATTCAACCAGAGAAACTGGAATCTCTGAAACTAAGAAACCTAAGATATGTTAGGAGACCAGGTTCACCCACAAAATGATGGAAGAACAATACAGCAGAATATAATTAGTGTCATCAAGTGTGGCTGAGACTGAGTGCTACAGGGGTTGTCATATCTGTGTGCCATAGCTGTAGAGGAAGGAATAAAAGAATTGAAGAGGCCTCTGACCTCAGCAGTAGCACTATCATGTTTCTTGCTGTGTAGCCACCCACAGGCCCCCATTTATCTCTTAGACTTTCCTTTCTACAAAGAATCATCTTGCCAAGGATCAAAGATAGAAGATAAATAGCATGTTTCTTAACCTGCAGAAGAAATTTTAGAAGTTGATAACCCAACATGGCTCAATCAATATCACTGAACAATCTTCATTGTTCATTGATGGGTTTTTATCTATTTTTTTCTGTCAAAGCTCTCTCAGTGGAGAAGCAGTTAAGACATCCTCAGTGTGTTTTCTCCTTCACTGCAACTGTCACTTCTATAGTTCATGCTCTTGTCATCTCCTGAATAAATTGTGATGATAATCGAAACTAGTTTCTTTACCTGTATTTTCCCCTTCCTTCCATCCACTCTACATTTTGACAGAGTTAACTTCTTAAGACACATAGTCTTTAGTGTGGAAGATTATATTAATGTATCCAACCTCTCACTCTTCCCTGTGCATATATCCTTTGCTTTGGACTTTGCAGTTCCTCTCATACAAGGAGAGGAGGCTATTTCCCACCCCTTGATTTTTGGGTTTGACCATATGATTTGTTTCAGCCAATAGGATGAGGTGAAAATGATGATGTGCTAGTTCCTAGCCAGACTTTATGCTAATTGTACCCTAGAGAGAATTGAAAAGAGTGGATGGACATTACTAACAAATGAGCCAGAAGATTAATAACACTATTTTACTATCTATAAAAAATCAGAAGCCAAAGCTAACAGGCTTCTCCATGTGTTAATGGGTGTGACACCTCATTGAAAGTGGACTGAGATGTTTAGAAAGACAACTCTTACCTCTCCTACACCTATGGCCAATTGAAGAGTGTTTTTTTTTTTTCTTCTTTTTTTTTTTAGGTATTTATTTATTTATTTACAATATCTTTACTTTATAATCTAATTTTCTTCCTTTTTTAAAAATAATTTTTTATTAATTTATTTTTGTTACAGATGTTTCTCCTTTTTTTCCCCATTGACACTCTCTGCGCCATCCCCCACACCCCAGACACCGGCTTCGTTGTCCGTGTCCGTCGGTTATACATGCATATAAGTTCTGTGGTTGATCTCTTCCCTCACCCCACAACCCCCTCTTATGAGGGTTGTCAGTCTGTACCCTACTTCCACGTCTCTGGGTCTACCCAATTCCTCAGACTGTTATGTTCATTATATTCCACAAATAAGTGAGATCATGTGATATTTGTCTTTCTCTGCTTGGCTTGATTTGCTTAGGATAATACTTTCCAGGTCCCACCATGTCGTCTCAAAGAATAAGAGATCTTTCTTTCTTACAGCTGCATAGTACTCCATCATGTATATGTACCACAACTTTTTTATCCATTCGTCTACTGATGGACACTTGGGCTGTTTCCAGATATTAGCTATTGTAAACAGTGCTTCTATAAAAATGGGGGTACATATATTCTTTCTGATTGGTGTTTCAGGCTTCTTAGGGTATATTCCTAGAAGTGGGATCACTGGGTCAAATGGAAGTTCAATTTTTAATTTTTGAGGTAACACCATAGTGTTTTCCATAGTGGCTACACCAGTCTGCATTCCCACCAGCAGTGTACTAGAGTCCCCTTTTCCCCACACCCTTGCCAACACTTGTTGTTTGATGATTTGTTGATGGTGGCCATTCTGACGGGTGTGAGGTGATACCTCATTGTTGTTTTAATTTGCATCTCTCTGATGATTAGTGATGTTGACCATTTCTTCATATGGCTCTTGGCTATTTGTATGTCCTGTTTAGAGAGATGTCTATTTAGCTCCTCTACCCCCTTTTTAATTTGGTTCTTTGTCCTTCTTTTGTTGAGTTGTATGAGCACTCTATATATTTTGGAAATTAATCCCTTATTTGATATATCATTGGCGATTATGCTCTCCCATACAGTGGGTTGCCTTTCCATTTTGGTGGTAGTTTCTTTTGCTGTGCAGAAGCTTTTGAGTTTGATGTAGTCCCATGTATTTATTTTTTTCTTTGTTTCTGTTGCCTTAGGTGATGTATCAGTGAAAATTCTGCTCTGTATGATGTCTAAAATTTTGTTGCCTACATTTTCTTCAAAAATTTTTATGGATTCACTGGTCACCTTTACATCTTTTATCCATTTTCTTTAAATTTTTCTTTTTTTAAATTAATTAATTTATTAAATTATTTATTTTTATTAATTAATTTTTGTTACAAATGTTTCTCCTTTCCCCCCACTGATTCCCTCCTCTCCCCCCTGCCCTGTCCCCAGTTTGTTGTCCACGTCCACTGTTCATGCATACATGCATATAAGTTCTGTGGTTTATCTCTCCCCCACCACCCCCTCTTCTGGGGATTATCAGTCTGTACCCCACTTTCACGTCTCTGGGACTACCACATTCCTCAGACTGTTATGTTCATTATATTCCACAAATAAGTGAGATCATATGATACTTGTCTTTCTCCGTTTGGCTTGTTTTACTTAGGATGATACTTTCCAGGTCCCTCCATGTCATCTCAAAGGATAAGAGATCTTTCTTTCTTAAGGCTGCGTAGTACTCCATTGTGTGTGTATATGTATCACTGCCTTTTTATCCATTCATCTAATGATGGACACGTGGGCTGTTTCCAGATCTTAGCTATTGTAAATAGTGCTGCTACAAACATGGGGGTACATATATTCTTTCTGATTGGTGTTTCAGGCTTCTTAGGGTATATTCCTAGAAGTGGGATTACTGGGTCAAATGGCAGTTCAATTTTTAATTGTTTAAGGTAACACCACATTGTTTTCCATAGTAGCTGCACCAGCCTACATTCCCAACAGCAGTGTATTAGAGTCCCCTTTTCTCCATACCCTCGCCAACACTTGTTGTTTGATGATTTGTTGATGGCGGCCATTTTGACAGGTGTGAGGTGATACCTCATTGTTGTTTTAATTTGCATCTCTCTGATGATTAGTGATGATGAGCCTTTCTTCATATGTCTCTTAGCCATTTGTATGTCCTGTTTGGAGAAGTGTCTATTTAGTTCCTCTGCCCATTTTTTAATTGGGTTCTTTGTCTTCCTTTTGTTGAGTTGTATGAGCACTCTATATATATTGGAAATTAACCCCTTATCTGATATATCATTGGAAATTATGCTCTGCCATACAGTGGGTAGCCTTTTCGTTTTGATGATTGTACGTTTTGCTGTGCAGAAGCTTTTGAGTTTGATGTAGTCCCATGTGTTCATTTTCTCCTTTGTTTCTATTGCCTTAGGTGAGGTATCAGTGAAAATTCTGCTGTGTATGATGTCTGAAATTTTGTTGCCTACAGTATCTTCTAGGATTTTTATGGATTCATGAGTCACATTTAAGTCTTTTATCCATTATGAGTTTATTCTTGTGTAGGATGTAGTTTTGGAGTGTAATTCTCTGTAGATATCTATTAAATCCATTTGGTCTAGTGCTTCATTTAGAGTCTCTGTTTCCTTGCTAATTTTTTTCTAAGTCACATAAAGTTTAATCAGTCAAGTTAATGAAAATATCAAAAATTTTTAGTTAGTGTATGGCAGCAGACATTGAATTTTTGTTGCTGATAATACAGTATTTGGTGTTTCCATTACGAACACATTACACTGCAGAAAGAGCAATAGCATTGAATCTCAGTTCATCAGGGTCACGTTCCATAAACTTCTTGCAAACCTCTATGGCATCCTCTAATAACGTTTCATCGCTAGTTTCACCATGGTTAATTGGAAATGGTTTCCGTCCATCTAATTCATAGAGATGCCCATCTACATGAACTAATGCAATAAAATGAAGATCTACTTTTTCATCTATACTTGGTGCAACAGAATGGAGACCCAAAGATGGTAGGCGTAAGAAGGGTCGCCAGCGACGAAGACGGAGAGATGGACTGGTAGCCTTTGCAGGGTCTACATGGTTATGTTTGACCCAGGGCAGGGATGCATGGTGACACAATGATGAGGCCTTCGTTCTGCAGTGGCTACAATGAGGCTGTGATGAGGATGGCGAGGAGGACTCAGTCTGACCTTCATGGGCACTGGTCTCATGAGTAACTCGAATAGCGTCATAGTTCTCCAGGTATCTGGCTCGTTCTTCAGGGCTCATTGACACAGACTCCTCCAGGAATTTTTTCAAGGTTGATCCAGATTCAAAATGCATCTTGTCTTTATTGTTGGCAATAGCATGGATCAGTCCAATGGTTCCACAGGCATTACTGATTGTTTGCTTCATGAAATATACTGATGATGTAACATCTTGTCCTTGAGATTTTATTTTTTCTTCCTCTTCTGTTCTGAATACTTCATACTTTTCTGTAATTGGGAAGAGAAGTAACACTGCACACACTGGTCTGGGTACCATGCTAAGGAGTTCAGGATCCATTCCATATACATCAACAAACTGCCAGTTAGGATGTAGACCTAATTGTTTGAGAAACTGGTTGGTGACCTCGGGGTTGGTCTCCAGTGGCAGCCAGCGCTGGCGCTCCATGGCAGCTTCGCCCAGCCCCTCTCCAGCTCTCTCCTTGCTAATTTTTTGTCTAGAGGATCTATCTAGTGATATCATTGGGGTGTTGAAGTCCCCTGCTATGATTGTATTGCTGTCAATTTCTCCTTTGAAGTCCTCCAGAAGATTTTTAATATATGTTGGTGCTCTGATATTAGGTGCCTATATGTTCACCAAGGTTATATCTTCCTGTTGGATAGATTCTTTCAATATTATGTAGTGACCTGCTTTGTCTCTAGTTATGGCCTTCATTTTGAAATCTATTTTAACAGTAAGGGTATTGCTACCCCACCTTTTTTTTCCCTTTCCGTTTGCTTGGAAGATTTTTTTTCATCCCTTTACTTTCAACCTATGTGAGTCTTTTGTTGTGAGGTGGGTCTCTTGTAAACAACATATAGATGAGTCATGCTTTCTTATCTAATCAGCTACTCTGTGTCTTTTTATACATTTAAGGTGATTATTGATATGTACTTATTTATTGCCATTTTGTTTAGTGTGGTTATATTTTTCTTCCTACTTCTTCTACTAATTACTGCAGTCCTTTTAAAATTTCTTGCAGTGCTGGTTTGGTGCTAATGTATTCCCTTAGCCTTTTTTTTTTTTTTGTCTGGAAATATTTTCATTTGACCTTCTATTTTGAATGATAGTCTTGCTGGGTAGAGTAGTCTTGAATTCAGATCCTTGTTTTTCATGACCTTGATTACCTCATGCCATTCCCTTCTGGCCTGTAGTGTTTCTGTAGAGAAGTCAGCTGATAGCCTTATGAGGGTTCCTTTGTAGGTAACCTGTTGCATATCTCTTGTTGCTTTTAGGATTCTGTCTTTGTCTTTAATTTTTGGCATTTTAATGACTATGTGTCTTGGTGTGGGCCTGTTTGGGTTCTTCTTACTTGGGGCTCTCTGTGCTTCTTGAACTTGAATGCCTTCTTCCTTCACCTAATTAGGGAAGTTTTCTGTCACTATTTCTTCAAATATATTCTCTAACCCTTGCTCATTTTCATCTTCTTCAGGGACTCCTATGATGCGAATATTATTATGTTTTCAGTTGTCACGCAATTCTCTTAAGCTGTCTTCCTGTTTTTTTAATTGTTTTTTCTTTTTGTTTTTCTGATTGGTTGATTTTCTTTTTCTACCCTGTCTTCTAATTCACTGATCCAGTCCTCAGCTTCCTGTTGTTGGCTGTTTAGTCCTTTCCAATGTGTTCTTTATTTGTGCTATGTCATTCTTCATTTCTTCTTGGTGGTTTTTAGTTTCCAATTGGTTGATTTTCAATGTTTCTATGTATTTACTCATGGTGCTCATGTCCTTACATATGCTGTTGAGCTTTCTCAAGTTCATGGCTCTGAATTCTAGCTCTGTTAACTTGCTGTGTTTCATCTATCTCATCTTCAGTAGAGGTCTCTTGTTCTTTCATTTGGGATTTGTTTCTTTGTTTCACCATTTTGGCTATCTCAGTGGATTTTGGAGCCTGCCAAATTTTCCCTGTGGGTTTTGGTGTTCTGCTATTTGTCGCTCCCTCTACTGCATTTGGATGAGCAAGGGAGGACCCACCTTAAATACCCCTGGCAAGTCTTACTTTCCTGGTTAGAGTTACAAGCCCAGGAAAGGTTCAGTTATCCTCTAGCTCTTTGCCTGAAGGCTATTAGTGTGGTTACTTGAAGAGCCTGGTTTCTCAGTTGAATAAAAAACTCTCTCAGGTGTTCAGAGTAAGGGGATTTCCTGAAGGTGGGGCAGATGCTGGTTGTTAATGAGCCTCAATTTACATTTCAGTGGCCCACAAAGTTGGGTTGAATCTCTGAGGGAGGGGCCAAGGCCTCTCCCCAGAGCCCTGGGAAGGAGTAAGATGGCCACAGTCCTGTGTGGCCACAACTTAGCAAAAGCTCTGAGTGCCCTCCAAATCCCGAGAGTCCCCACACCATTCCAGTCAGTCCACCCTCCTTCTGCCAGAGCCCAAGGTGAGTGGCTGTGGCTGTTTTAGTAGTAAGTCCCAGCTCTGCACTGTGGAGCCGCCTGGGATTTTAACCCCGAGGGTGCTGCTCACAGCTAAGACTGCTGTTGTCCATGGGCTCCCAGACCCCCTGTTTCACCTCCGCAATTCTACTTGTATCAAGTCAGTGTCCTTGGTTATATGGTCTTCGCAAGCTGCTTTTCTGTTGCTTTTTCCTGACTATTTGTCTGTATTTTAGTTGTAATTCCAGTTTGGTCCTGGGAGATGGTCTGTTTAGCTTCCATTCACTTCACCGCCATTTTGGAATCCTCCTGAAAAGTGTTTCTAAACAAACCTGGTCAACTTTAGGAAAATGTCAAAGTGACCAAGCAGGATGCCCTTACCAAGGGACCAATGGGGAGAGGAGTTGCGTTCTCAGCCACCTTCCTAATCCTGAGGACAGTGTTCCAAACTAAAGCTGTCTTCACAGGTTGCAGTTCATGAGTGTCACCTTGCTCTCCAGTATTTCTAATTCTGCCCTTTCCTCTGGTGTTTTCTTTTACATTGATCGGGTGTCTCATCTCTTAAAACAAAACAACCCTCCCCACTCCATTTTTGGACCTGTCACTCTTCCTCATGGCCATCCCTTCTTATTTTTCTCCCCTTCTTTTTCTGTGCCTTCAGTCCTTAACAATTCATTCTCATCTCAGCTATCTGAGATCTGGCTTCAGTCCCATTGCTCTACTGTAACTGCTCTGGGCAAGGTCTCCTGTGAGGTCCATTTTACCAAGCTTGCTGGCCCTTTCTAGTTTTCATCTTCAGCCCCCCCCATCCCACTTGGCTGTTTGAAATAGTGGATAATGACTCACTCAAAGCCCACCTCTACCAGTAAGACTGCCCTGACCATAGCTCTTGCTGAGCTCTCCTTTCCCAGTGGGAAGCACAGGGTAGTATATTTACCACCTTATGACATATGTTTCTTCTTTTAATACGTTATGGACTTCTTGAGACAGAGACCAAGAATTTGGGGATTTGATCACTCTACATATGGAAAAACCTAAAAACAATATGAACTCAGAAATGGTGCTTAATATAAGCCTACTAGGTTATTTTCATCTTTATTATTTAGCAGTTTAATGCTCTTCTTCTTCTCTTCTTGATCAAATTCTATCCATGTTTAAATTTATCCTAAATATGTTATCCTTAAGTCATTTCTCCTGGCCAAAGTTGATTTATCCCTCTCCAGATCATTGATGCTAGAGAGGACTGTGGTAGGCTGAATAATGCCCCCCATATACCCATTTCCTGATACCCCAAACCTGTAATGTTACTTTACATGTCAAAAGAGACTTTGCAAATGTGATTACATTTCTTGAGATGGTGAGATTATTCTGACTTATTCAGGTGGGCCCTAAATGTAATCACAAATGTCCTTATAGGAAGGAGATAGAGGAAGATTAGACAGTCAGATGAGGAAAAGGCAGTGTGACCAGGGAAGCAGAGATTGAAGTGATGTGACCATAAGCCAGGGAATGCTGGCAGTCATCAGAAGCTAAAAGAGGCAAGGAAAGATTCTCTCCTGAATTCTATGGAAGAAACCAGCCCTACCAACACCTTGACTTTAGCCTAGTGAAACATATTTTGGACATCTGGTATCCAACACTATAAGAGAGTAGATGTGTATTGTTTTAAACCACCAAACTTATGACAATTTGTTGCATCAGCCACAGAAATGAATATAAGTACTCTGCCTACCTTCTGGTGTTTGGCTTAAATACTGCCTTGAGTTGCCTTTTAAAAAATTGTTTTAAAAGATTTTTAAATTGATTTTTAGAGAGAGAAGGGAGAGGGAGAGAGAGAAAGAGAAACACCAATGTGAGAGCAAAACATCGATCAACTACCTCCTGCATGCCCCTCCTGGAGATCAAGCCCACAACCTGGGCATGTACCCTGACCAGAAATCTAACTGGCAACCTTTTGGTGCATGGGACGATGCCCAACCAACTGAGCTATACCAGCCAGGGCAAGTTGTCTTCTGACTGACTCAAATATGAGGATTTACTTCTCCAACCATACTGAAAGCTCCAAGAGGACAGGGCATCCATCCACAATTTCTGAGCACAAAGAATTTGTTGGATTGAATTTAGTTGAGTCTCTTAGATGGGTAGATCTGCCTCTTAAGTAGAAAAATGGTGCTTAAGTTAACCAGAACACAAAGTCAACGGATTTGACTCTGACTTATTTGTCAGGGTAGTTATGGAGAAGATTCAAGTATCAGTGAAATCTTTTACTGACTAGATGCTTTCTAAGTTCTCCTTGATTTCAAGAGTCTTTCATTCCAAGAGGCTATGGCTTTCTAAATACTGATGGGTCTTCCCCATGTGGCAGTGGTGTGCCCCCCCTCCAAGTCACAGATATTCTTAGGCCTGAAAGTTAATGCCTATAACTAATGCTACTGTTGTTTCAAGATAGAGATTAATTATAAAAAACCTTCTCTTGTGAAAAGTGTTTCGTAATTTTTAGAGCATTTCTCATCCTTGATCTAACTTGATTCTCATAACAAACCTCCACAGTGGTATGGCAGAAAATATTTTCCTACTGAGAAGTTGAGCTCCACCAAAGTCAAACAACCTCCCCAAGGTCATGCAGTCATGGTTCTACAGCACCAGTGGCACCAAATAGTAACTGCAATCTGAAAGCAATCCTGCCAAAGAATCAGGGAGCCACTGTGAAGACAGAACAGGAGAACCTTTAATGTCTGTCATTGTCCATCTCAGTGCTCTGAGAGACAAATTGAATACTTTGTCCCTGCCTCGGTGAAGTATGAATAGAAGAATCCTGAAGTTCTAGGACACTCACTCTGCTCCCTGGCAGGCAGATATTTAACAATACAGGATAGAAGACTGTCTTCTGTTTTCTACTGTTCTTTGGGTTGAAATTTCCAGAGTTGATTTAAATTTCTATTTTATCACATCATATAAAAATAAAGAAATCCACCAATATATACCAATTTTAATCATTCTTGTTTTTGGTTAAACAAATATCTTTTTCTTGGGGTC